TGGAAGATGTTTTACAGCCTTAGGAGAGCCCATTCTCCTGCCCCATTGCCCACAGCAATGACACACCACATACTTCTATCACCTAGTGCTGTTCAACTTTGCATTTTATTAATTATATTCCATTATTTTAAAAGTAAGTAAATAAAACACCCATTAAGAAACCTTACTTGGATTAGCAAGTCCTGGCCTGAGTGAACTCAACTGGTACAAAAGGAAGAGGTAGGGCATAAAAAGCCACACAAATAGATTCAGTACTGTAGCATACTGCAGTAATTTTCCCAACACTCTCAGCTCAGCATCAAGGGACAACACAGTGACCACATTAACAAGCTGAGCTGGCTGAGGATAGCTCGGGAGAAGAAAAACGGGGCTGCAGACATGAAAGAGAACTAAATAGCCAACTAAAGCCCCCAAAGGCTGGAAATGGAAAACTGGTGTTGCACTGTCCCCATGCAAACTTCCATCACCTTCACAGAGGTGGCAATAACCAATGGGACATACACATCAAGAGGAATGTGGGTTAGGGTTAGAAGTGACAAACAATCCCTGCTCCTGCATGGGAAGCTGCTGGTCAGGTTCACATCAGCAGAAATGAAGGTTCAAGGGGAGTATTCTTGCTAGACTCCAGGCTTCTGCCCAGACTGACGACACACAAGGGAATCAGAGCCACCATCAGGATCAGGGCACACAAGGGATCTTTTGTTCCTCTGTAAGGAAAGCAAAATGCAATCAGCCAGGACACTGGCAGCTATGCTGCTGCTCTGGGCAATCCTGGCTGTCCCCACAAAGCTTTCAGCTTGCTTTCAGAAGCACAAATATCTTCTGCAGCACTCAGAGGTGTAAAAGGCACCAACACCCAATGCATCTCACTAAGTGTATCAGGAGGACAGAAATGAGGAGCAGAGGAGATGGTTGCAGTGCCCTGCAGATAACATGCATCCCAAAGCACAAATTGCTTCGAACCCCACAGCCACAGCTATTAGCAATCACCAAATGATCCAGTTTTCTACCACCCCAGCACTTGACTCCAATGCCTCTGGCAGCAGCGCTTGGAGCAAGTCAACTCCATGCTGTGTATTTAGCTTAAAACAATATTGTTTCAGTGAGCTAGGTGCAGTTAGTCTCATACTGCCTATGCAGGGAGTTTATAAAGAGCTGGTCACTGTAAAAATTACAGGCTGTCACGTGTGAATTTTAATCACTTGCCCTTTTTTAAGCTGTTTTACACACAAGCGCTGCAAACCATCCTCCTTCGGAAACACCTTCATTTAAAGGGGAGTTTTAACGCATGCATATGTACATAGGTGTTCTGAACTATTGCTGCCATAAAAAAGGAATCAGATGATGTTGTACACCCTCTGCAGTCCCTTTTTTTTTCCCTTTTAAAATGTCATTTCCTGATCACTGGGTAACACCAGAGGATACAGCAGATCTTTACATGCATCTGTGAAGGTGCCTCCAACCCCATCTTACGGACATCATCAGTTTGAGGAAGGAAAGAAATCATAGGACAACTTCACTAACACTTGTACACCAGCAAACATCTTAACTTCTGCCCTGGCACCCTGCCTCTACAGGGCTGTGGCATACTAGAAACCTAGAGAATTTAAAATGAAATAAAAGAACCAAATAGCTTCCAACTTCTCCCATTTACAGAGTCTTACATTTTGGGCCCTTTTTCCTTGGCATCTACTCAATCCCATTCAATCGCCTCCATTGCATCTTCCCAGTGTGCTCTGTGACACTAATAAAGCTAAAATGTACATATGTAAATATTTATTACATATATATATTATGCTTTTTATATACATATATATGTGAGTACATATTTTATATTTATATCTGCTTTTATATACATGAAAACAGATACTTATATTTTTATACATTTCATATAAATATATGTATATATTTATATATTTTATATTTATTTATAATAGATGATAAAGACATAGAGGTGATGGAGAGATAGAGATGATAGAGATATAGAGAGATATGACCTTGCCTTCTGCACTGTAAAAGAGCTACCCAAACTGACCTCATGGTTCCTGATTACATCCATGCGCTATTTCTCCTATAAAACCAGACACCTTGCAGCCCTCTTTATCCAGGACTTCATGAAAAGAAGGAAAAGTTTGCCCTTAGAGCACCACTGAACTTGAAACTCCGCAGCAAGGGAGAAGCCAGCACCATGAGCCTGCTCACACGCTCAGTCCAATTTTGCTCTGTTTGCCTGTGGCCCCAGAAAAGCCTCAATCACCATTTCAGCAATGGGGTTTTTTGAAGGGTTTATTGCCTCAGTGCAGTGTCTGATCCCAATGAAGCAGTTTACTGAGAAGTCAGCTAATGAAGTTCTGCTCCACCACACAAACTGCATGAGTATTATCCCATGGACATATATCATTGCAAAACTTGGAGATGACACTCCACCAAACATCAGACAAGCTCATGCAGAAATAACTGCCTGGTGACTACAGGAAATTATTTATTCACCACCTTTTTGCTCACTGGTGTTGCAAATAACATCAACTGCTTTCCAAATAATCTTCCATGGAGAAAGCTTGTTTTACCCGTCTGATTTTCTTACTTACACTGAAGACATTCTGATTGAAAGGAAACCAGAGAAATTCAAACAGAATGCACGTCTGCAGCATTGTTCTTGCTTTTCTATGATGCGATTTGCATTGTTTGTTTTTAGAATAATTTCTTTATATATATATATGTGTATGTATATATATACAAGCCTATATATGCATATACACAAGCACACACTTAGACAGAAAACAAACAAACCCAGAAGGCTAGCTAGAGATTACTGCTCTCAGTCACACTGCAGGTTTGACCTTTTGAGATTACAGGTTTGAGTTTTATTCCCGATCTATCGGATGCACCAGACATGATGTAATTGTTTAAAAGCTAAAGATGCTGCAAAACAAGTGATAGCTTTGCACCAGTTTAGGTTTAAAGTGCTCACAGACCTCCATCCTGACGGCTGAGCTGCCCATGTCCCACCATGCTCACACACACCCCTAAGCAGAGCTGCAGATACAAGGCATCCTGCTGAGTCAGTTTAAAAAGAAAAACAAAAAAACAAGGGCAAAATTAAGTCCTGTCCAATGCACTACATCCATCATTCATGAGACACACTGTCCATACGCCCTGCTCCAGCAGCTCCACCACTCTCCCTGCAGCACTGCAGAGGGAAAAGCATGGATCAAACTGTGGAGACACAACATCCACTCAGAAGCTTTCAGATTTAAAATATAGTGTGCTTCACTTTAAGAGCCATATTTTAAATAATGAGGCAGATTCCTATAATCCACGTTACAATCTCCTCTCAGCCCTATTTGAATCCCTCTTTTGTTCCAAGCCTGCAATTACCCTAATACCAGCCTGAGACATAAAGCACCAGAACAGCTCTAACAGTGAGCATCTTGTTTATTAAGAGCTCTGAAGGTGGTTATTTCCATGTCTCCTTGCAAACATAGCAGTCCTAACCATGCACAGGCAGCAGCTATCAATTATAGGTGGCTGTCAAAAGTAGACTTATTCTGATGAGGAGGACAACAAAGTTGAGCATCTCTGGCTAAGGCTCTCTGTTAGCCCACTGCCTGCAAAATGACATAGGCATGACGGAAAATACCAAGTCGTCCCTAGCACAGACTTCAACAGAAAATTAAGTCCTTGTATTTTAGACACATACCCAGGAAAATCAATGGGACCTCCACACTGGTCAGCAAAACCCTGACATCCTTCAAATAGAACAGTGCAGCTTGCCGCTCAGGCTGGATTCATATAACAAGAACACAGTCCTAAGCCTTCTTTTTTCTATAGACAGCTCCTCAGACTTCTAAATTTTTCTCAAAGCGGTTTTGCTCAAAGCACAAGCACTTGCTGGAGGGCTGAACTGAGGCGTGGAGTCAGTTTGGGAGCAATCCCTTCCCTCCAATCTCTGCCCATGGCAGTGTTCCTCCAGATTCATTTCTAGATTGAACTCTGGAGCATCTCTGATTATAAATGCATCCTAACTCACCAGTTAAAGATGAGACACAGCAGAAAACAGGCTGCAACCCTTGGTAAACGGTTATGTGCTTACTCTTACTATTAAAAGCCCAGGCAGCAAAAAAAAAAAAAAATCACAGCTAATCCACAAGAGCATCTAAACACACTGTGAGAGTCCAGACAGTTATAATGAAATGATCCCTGGTGCAAAGCTCTCAGCTTCCTCTCAAACTCTCTTTTAGATCATGGCTCATCAAAACAAAATTCTGCATCAGCCCTCAGCAACACACAAACAGACATAAAGAGAGTAAAATTCACACTGCATTGCTCTGGTGAAGACATTGCTTTAAAGGACCTGTAAATATTACCAGCCACCTTCTAACTCAAATTCGCAGTGCCTCCATAAAGATGACTAACATCAGCTCCCTTGTTTAGTCTGATTATCTCCCCAAATTATCTGAAATGCGGTTTCCTCTAAGCTATTACACATGACATTTGCAGAGTGGTTTGAATTTCTTCCAGGAAACTCATCCAAGCAGCAACAGGAGAAGGATACCCATCTGAATCATGGTTGCACTGAAAACATGAGCTCCCAAGGACCAAAGTTCCCCACCAGCCCAGCCTGCCTGGCAGTCTTGGCAGCCAACAATGGGGTCAGGTCAGTAAGCAGAATTAATCAGAAATGCCTGACCTCAAAGAGATTTCAGTGTGAAGCAGTTCTGCACCATGCAAGGGAAGCTGCTGCAGGAACCACGTCTTGCATCTCACAGAAGGACAGAGCTAAGCACCCGTGGGTGAAGACAGCTACCATGATGGGGAGATACCATACCAACTTGGGGTCATAAAGGCACAACAGAAGACCCCGTATTCTCAGAAGAGAGGAAAACCTGGGTGTTTCACATGCTATTCCACAACTTCCTTTTAACTCCATATTTGCAACATTTAATTGCCTATTTGATCCGACAGCTCGATCTGACCACACTGACTGAGCGACCACTCACCTGGCCATCTGCTTATAGGCTTCCTCTGCCACGGCAAAGATGTGAGGATCCATATCCCCCATGTTTTGGCCACTGTATGCGTAGATGACATCTTGTCCGTAGATTGGCAGCTGCTCATATGGATTAATGGCAACAAGTACAATACCTTGGAACAGATAAATGGACAGATATGTTACAAACCAAGCACAGAGTTAATACTTCAGGCTTTTAAGGGCTTGTGTTAGTTGTTCCAATCAATCTGGTGAAGGACTTCTACTTCTTATCTCAGCATCTCTTGACAGCTAGGCAATAAGCTCCCACATAGCTACAGAGAGGGCACGCAATACTGGTGAGAAGAGCAAATACATAATAGTCTTCATTGTATGAAGGCAGATTTTGCAGGAGGAGTGAGAAGAGGAGCTGAGGAGTCCGTGAGACATTCCTTCAAAAAAGCAATTCCTGTGCAACCAAAGCTCTGCTAGACCCAAACAAATATCCCAGATTTTCCCCTGGCTTAACTCTTGAATAAAAACTCGTAACAAAGAATGTACTCAAATCAAAATGAAATGGATAAATCACAGGAAATGAATGCCAGAGCCTGCATTAAAGCTTTAATGTCTCTTTCCTCCCCAGCAATAGGAATGCCGCGCCTGGCTGGAGGAGGCAGCAAGCCCTGGAACTAATGAAATTAATGAGAGGCAAAGACACGCGTGGTGCTACCTGTGCGCTCGAGGGAGCTGGTTTGCACCCTACAGCACTGAAGTACTGCAAAGCTCCACCTCCAGAGCACCTTCAGGTTTTGCAGGTTTGAATTGCTGCTGTGAGGAGCTCCAGAGAGCCTGTGGCCGGTGGGACCGGGTGCTGTGCACCAGCCCGGAAGATTCAGGGCTTGGGCACGCTGAAATCACAGCGAAGCACAGGAACTGTCAGCCTGCAGCAAACACCAGGATACGTGACAGGAGGCCAAGAGCAGCCAAGTCATGTTCCATGCCTCCGTGCATCACAAGAAGTAAGAGCAGCAGTCAAGGAGGGGATTCTCTGCTGCGCCCTGGGGAGACCCCCCTGCAGTCCTGATCCAGCTCTGGGGCAGCAGCACAAGAGGGACGTGGAGCTGTTGGAGCGAGGCCAGAGGAGGCCATGGAGATGCTGCGAGGGCTGGAGCAGCTCTGCTCTGGAGCCAGGCTGAGAGAGCTGGGCTGGGGCAGCCTGGAGAAGAGAAGGCTCCTGAAGGGGAGACCTGAGAGCAGCTCCAGTGCCTGAAGGGGCTGCAGGAAAGCTGGAGAGGGGCTTGGGACAAGGGCCTGTAGGGACAGGGCAAGGGGAATGGCTTTAACCTGCCCGAGGGGAGACTGAGATGAGCTCTTAGGCAGAAGCTCTTCCCTGTGAGGGTGCTGAGGCGCTGTCACAGGGTGCCCAGAGAAGCTGTGGCTGCCCCATCCCTGGCAGTGTTCAAGGCCAGGTTGGACACAGGGGCTTGGAGCAAACTGCTCTAGCGGAAGGTGTCCCTGGCCGTGGCAGGGGTTGGAGCTGGATGAGCTTTAAGGGTCTCTTCCAACACAAACCAATGTGTGATTCTATGATATCAACCCAACAGCTTCACCTCACCATGCCTTGCTCCCATCTGCTTCTTGGTTCTCTTAGAGTCATGCATCTGTTTCCCTTCGTCGCTGAAAACACGCCACAATGCCAACCAGGCTGAAGCCCTATAAGCCTCAGACAATGGCTACTACAAAAGCACTCTTCTCTCCTCAATTACTTCATAAGCAAAGCACAATGTAAGTAGCACCCACATAGAGCTTTGCAGCTAAACCTACACCTGCTAAGCCCAAATGGCTAAGCCTAAACCCATGTATCTTCGTTATGACGATGCTGTGCTCAAGGTTACCATGAGCCCTCACAAGGAGCTGCAATAATGAAACCTCACTGATTTTGGATGATAGAAGGCTTGCAGCTGACTGGGAACACATGCAGCTGCAAAAGTCTGCAAGTTGTGACAGCAGTCTAACATTACACACCATTAAATATTTAAAGGAAGTCACCACTACTGCCAGCCACTGAGGCCATGTATTTCAAGGGCACTACTTTAAGAGTCACCTCCTCCTGCCACACATTTCCTCAAGCACCCTAAGTTGGAACACTGGATCATATCTGTACCAGCCTTAACCACACAAACAATCCCATGTATTTTGCTGATACCTTGCAACTCACCACTTAGAGAATCATTAGTCTGCACCACTGCTAGCAAAATCACTTTCACTGCCAGTAAGAGGGTTCAACATTCAATACTCTCCAACATAACTAAATAAAAAGGGCTGAATTGTCTTCTTCCTTTTCTTTTTTTAGGTTGCAGTTTGTTGCCATCCATTCACAGGTAACAGCTGTCTTGAATGGTTTTGGTAGGCCACCCTCCCCGAGAATGACAAACCCAAGTTCACACATAGAATCATAGAATCACGGAATAGTTAGGGTTGGAAAAGACCTCAAGATCACCCAGCTCCAATCCCCCCTGCCATGAGCAGGGTCACCCCACACCAAATTATGTCACCCAAGGCTCTGTCCAACCCAGCCCTGAACACCGCTAGGGATGGAGCATTCACACACCCTCTTTCTGCTTTGCATTGAGTTAAATGTCCCTCAAAGTCATCAAGAATAGGAAGGAAATAACAGTGCAGCAAGTTTTTTTTTTGCAGTCTTTTAGAAGGAAAATCCACCACAGACACTTGTCAGCTGGGCCACATCTTTCTGGCATGCTGCTGCTCTCCAGTGGTTTGCTAGATCCCACTTTTTCCCCCCCCTCAGACTGCCAAGCACATGCAAAGGTGGCCTCAAACTCATCTGACAAGACACCCCCACCAAGAGATACATGGACCTTGAGCTCAGGAAGTTCCCAGTGCACCAACCCTCAAAAAACACCTCTGGTTTTGCAACCTAAAGCCTATTGACACACACTCGTGTCTCCCACGCATCCCAAATTCACAGCCCTGGACCTTCCTCATGCCACAGCCTCTCGCTTGTGGTCTGAGGGGGTTTCTATGTGGACATATTCTATCCACTGCATTCCAGGAGCTGAACATGTGGCCTGGACACTCACCGCAGTACGTGTAGATGTGGTTGGACTCGATGAACCTGACTTTGAGGTTGTGGAGCACTGCAGGCTCATGCAGGTAGCTCAGGGCAGTCAAGTCATTCTCTCCCACAAGGATATCTGGATTGCGCAGGAAAGGCAATTCATTTCCTTGCGGGTCAATGGGATATTCGTAGAGCTGAAGAGACACACAGAAAGAACATCAGAATACCAAAACCAGCAGCTCCTTTAATGTCTTACAACTTATCCAAGCATAACTCCATCCTGACAATACAAAATACATACACATCCTGCCCTAAAGGAAATGAAAGCCCCTTTGTGTTACATCCTATAGAGATGTGGATGGCACACGACCAGGTGACAGGTCATCCACCCCTCTGGTAAATGTCTTTCTGTCCGAAAGATGGTCCTGGTGGACACTGATGGTAGATAAGCACCAACCTGAGAACACCTGGGTTGTTTTCATGCCAGCCTTGGGTCAAATTGCCTTTAGCCAGCTCTGACCAGCAGCAGGTACCATACAGAAAACCACAGCTTCATCTGATCTAAGCATCTTCATGCTCTTTGAAAAGCAGCCTTATTTCAAACCAGACCATATTCTCCCCATCAGAGCGATTTCTCAGGTAATCTTTAATTCAGGTTGCTTTTAAACTCAAAACCTTATAACCCTTCAGGCAGAGAAGGACACGGATAAGTGAGGAGCCCCTGTTGTTTCAGTACCTTAAGAGCCAGCTTATGCTGTTGAAGCATACAGCTGCCCATATGCTAATTACTTTTGACTCATCCCTAAACGAAGCAGACACCAGCTAAAGAGAAAAAGTGTAATTTCCTTCCTTTACTGTGGAGGAAACAAAATTCTTGTGATCTTACTTCGCTCAGGGTGCCTCTGAAAGGGGTCCTGACACTCAGATCCCAGCAGAAGGGAAAAAAAGGCACCGCTACCATTGCTTTGGCATTGGGTTACTGCCTGTGCAAACAGCACAAGAAAAGCTGACCCAAAGTGCACAAGGACAGGCTCCTGCAGCACATCTGACAACCTCGGCCTTGTTTTATACTCCAGTTCCACATTGCCAATGCCAATTTTCAAGAGTCTGCACTCAGTATCACATCTTAATGGCAAACACACCAGGGATCCCTTGTGATATTAAAAAATCAGCTCTTCATTCAAAGGGAGTACACTTGCATACAAAGTGCAGCCAGAAACCACAAAATCCATGAAAATTCACTTTAAGCACAAGGACAAAAGAGAAGCACTAAACAGTCGGGTAGTGCATGTTGGCTGTCAGGAACAAAAGGCTTTCAACAGCTTCAAATGCCCCAAAGGTATGTATGCTCAGGATCTCTGATGCACACGTGTGCTGTTCCCCTTCACTAAAGCTTTTCAGCCTAACATGACTTGGGACCAGGCAGGGTTTAATACAGTAAAGCATCAAACAGGGGTCTCTTGCACAACCTCAAAATGAGATGTTCTTGTGTTTTGCCATGACAGTGACATGCTTATTAAACTACCAACACCTAGTGACCCTTTAATCTCCTTGTGCTTTAATGTTGCTGACCCTGTATGAAAAGGCTAGACCTTACAGGACTTCTTAGACCCTCTGGTTCCAGAAGGATATCCAGATTAAAGATCACAAAGAAAGGGAAAAACCCTCTCCCACCCCAACCCCAGAACTAAAACTGCTGAAGATCTCAAGATCAAGGGTGGAGGTTGCAGCACTCAGCAGTACATGCAGAGGTACTTTGGCAGCCTGAGCACAAAAAGCAGTATGAAGGAGCTGCTGTGGATGAGATGGGCACCCACCTTCACTCAGGCACCCCAAAAAGAACACCATTAGCACTGCTCATGAAACATGCCTGAAGCTGAAGCCTGTATTGCTTTTCATACCCATCACCAGTTTCTTACAAAAGCTTGAGCACTGCTGCTTGGTTTCTCCCAAGGTTTCTGCCTTCTTGTCACAGGAACAAGAGAAAAATCATATAATAAACCTGCAGCAAGAGTCATCCCTATGGCCCCCAATGTCGCTGGGAGGCAGCAATAAGCTGCTGCATGATGGAATGGTGGAAACATGCCCATCTTGTGTAACATCCTTCATCATGAGGCTGCCCAGAGAGGTGATAGATGTGCCACCCCTGCAGATATTCAAAGCCCAGCTGGATGTATTTCTGGGCAACCTGATCTAGTGGAAGAAGTTGCAGGTGGGGTTGGACTGGATGAGCTTTGAAGGTCCCTTCCAACCCAAACCATTCTATGAGTCTATGAGCATGAAGCATCATGTCATTAGAGAAAAAAAATACACCCAAATAACGATTGATATGACTTGGAACATTGTTAGATTCAGGATGGTGAATCCAGGAGGTCCAGGCACAGGGCTACTGGGCAGGGAAACCACCAAGGAGCAAGGGGCAGTGACTCATAGTCCTATGCAGAGCTTCTCATTTTTGTCTTTTAGAGATTTTTTTATTTAAAATAAAAAAATGGGGGAAAAGGTTTTTTATGGAAGATTATACTTAAAGAGAAAAACTAAGGCATGGAGAAAGCTGTTGCACAGAAGTCACTTCTGTGTTCTAAGTGACTTTTCCATTGGTGGCCAAACTTGAGTAGATTCCACTAGTCTCTCTCTTTCCAGTTTGCTCAGCAGCAAAAAGCATAAACTGATATTTCTAACACAGTGTTGCTATTAAAGAAATCATTCTGATATCACAGACTATTACAACTTTGCCAAGGGATGAAATGAGACGAGAGAGGTCAAGGGCTTTTCTCACAACCCACTCTAACACAAGTGCCTGGGGAGGGAGCGGGCAAGGAAAAGCTGGAAGTGCTAAGGCAATAGAACACGTTAAAATACTTCCTAAAAATACGAGATGGCTGAGGCTTCTTCACACATTAATTCAAAGCTTTACATTTCTGAAAAGTATAAAACGACATTCAAAAGCTTACAGTTTCATCTTCAAGTTTCAGATGCAGGCTTTTATCTCCCACTTTATAATCCTTGATAACTTCTGCCGATCTCCAAACTTCATCAGGGTCAGGAATCCAAACCCTTGTGTACTGCAGAATGAAGGGAGAAAAAAATATATATATATAAAAAAAAAAGAGAGAGAGAGAGAGAGAAAGAAAAAGTTTAAACGTAAGGAAACCTCAGGAAATTAAATCAGAAATAAATTAATTCACCATGGATACAATTCCGCACTCAGTGTAAAATCAGCGCAGCTAAACCATTTATTTCAGTCAAAAAAAAATCTTCTAATTTTAGGTTTTGGGGTAAATTATAGACCAGAAGTCTGATTTTCAATCAGGCAGGGTGTACACTGGCTTGTTACCAATCTAATGAAGCAGGGCAGAGTCTCAAGGCAAGATGTGGAATTTAATTTCCCTGGGAAAAAGACAGCCTTCCAGAAGCTTTTATGAAATAATGCAATTCTCCCCCAGCAGACCGTACACCAAAACATATTTCTTTTCATCAAAATGATGTTAGGTTTCTCCCCACAGAGCATGCCCTAAACCAAACCCTCTGCCGTGGGGCTAAAAGCAAGCAGAAGACACCAAAGCGAACTACTTCAGTTGGAGGCAAACAGGCTTTAGGGCTCCAGAAAGATGCTTAGATGAAACATTTAACCTTATTAACATCTCCAAAGTCAGGGACACCCTTGATCATCCAAGGGTAAATCCCAAAGGCAGACCAGTACAACCTTGCCAAAGTGTCCACAAAAGGATGAAATCCAAGAGCAAGCAGCACCACTCACACGTAACGAGATGGCGGCATTACCCAAAGCCACAGCACCTCCTGCTAATGAGATTTAATTGCTTTTATGATGCAAAGATAAATACTTTGCTCAGGCTGTGTAAAAGCATCCCCCCTGTGCTGAGCAAATAACTGCTGCCGCGCCGAGACCCCAGTGCATGCTGTCAGGAACTGGGACGGAGGCACTGCAAAACCAGCAGTAACGCTGCAACCTCCATGCATGGGTTTCCCTCACTTCTCTACATCCACCTTTCTTTTGGCCAGAGCAGGCACCAGTTTCCCTGCTCATGGAGCTACTAGGGCAAGGTCCCAGGAGCAAGGAACCTAAAATTGCTCCATCTCTGCAGCGAGTCACCTTGAGCCGGGCTTTTGTTGCTGGACACAGATTCATAAAGCCAGCCTGATGCTGGACTTAGCCAGACAGCAGAGAGTCAACAGGAGTCCTTCTACAATCACTTATTGGCATTTTGGGGGAACATCTCCTAGACTCATAGAATCAACCAGGTTGGAAAAGACCTTCAAAATGCAGTCCAACTGTTCCCCAGCACTGCCAAGGCCACCCCTAACCCATGGCACTGAGGCCTCATCTCCATGATGTGTGAACACTTGCAGGGATGGTGACTGCAGCCCTGCCCTGGGCAGCCTGTTCCAATGCCTGAGCACCCTCTGGGGCAGGAATTGTTCCTCAGCTCCATCTAAACCTGCCCTGGTGCAGCTCCAGGCCGTTTCCTCTTGTCCCATCCCTTGTTCCTTGGGAGCAGAGCCCAGCCCCTCCTGGCTCCATCCTCCTCTCAGGCAGTTGTAGGGAGCCATCAGGTCCCCCCTGAGCCTTCTCCAGATTGAATCCCTCAGGTCCCTCAGCCCTTCCCCATCACACTTGTGTTCCCTTCACCAGTCTTCCCCCAGCTCTTCCTGTCCATTGCAATCAGAGCTATATAAACTCATTCTTACACAAAACACAAGGGTTGGGGAAAATCCCAGCAAATCCAAGTGACACCAGCATCGCAGCACCAAAGATGGTTTTGGCTTTCATCTTAAAGCCAAACCCCCAGCACACAATGGCCAAATAACACTCGCAGCAACCCAAGAGTTAAAGCGGCAGCATCTGCCTATCAGCCTGCTCTGCAGCTGAAGAGCAATAGATTTTTATATGTATCTTGTGTAATTATTTATAGAGCTGCTCAATAGCTACAGCAGTGGGAACCTTTAGATATTAAATAGAGCTACACAAATGTATTGCCAGAACAGCAGTTTTATCTGGGAGGGGAAAAAATGAAATAAATAAGTAGACTTTTCCCAGCACCTCTATCTCCCCACGAGCCTTCAGTGCTTTCCCTGCCACAAAGAAAGGAAGCTGCCATAGGGAAAGGACAAGTTTGGGACCCCAGCCCTATCTCCGCTGTCTACTCCAGCCAAGCAGCATTGCAAGAGATGAAACATCCCTGCAGCACAGCCAGGAACCCATCTTTAGCTGGACCATGGTGCAGTGGGCAAGATGGGGACGCACCAGCCTTCCTCACCTCCTGCACCTCAGCCCAGTTTCTCCTGCTCCAACACCATGGGAAGGGCTTTTCAAACCATTGCTGCAGCTCTCACTCCTCCTGCAGAGTGCCTTGCCTGCCTTTTCATCCCCACCACTGTGGTTTCATCCAGTGCCAGCTCTCTGTGGCAGAAAGAGATCAAATATGCTCTAGAAATGCCTGAAATAGCCAGGGATCGGCATGTACCCAGCTCAAGGCAGCCTCAAAAACAAGAGGTTGCTGGTCCTGGCTGGAATCCTGCAAATCCTCCACCTGCACAATGGGCTGGGCTGAGACATGGACCTGCATGGACAGACGGATGGGAAGAGGGGCTCACTGACCCTAAAGCAAGCCCAAAACCATGGTGGTGCTTGCTCATGTTTTGGTGTTTGAAATCTGGGTGCACCTCCAGCAGCAGTAAGAGGTCACATCAGCCCCTCTCAGCAACTCATCATCAGCCACAGCCAGGAGCTACTCAACACCCAAGCATGATGCAAGGCTCACCAGTGCGGAAGGGTAGAAACTCCCAGCATCCAACACCCAGGAATGAACTTACAACCTGGTGATGGACGATTCACGTCCTGTCAGCCACCCTGACAACAAAACAAGACAATTTGCATAATATAACTGATTTTCCAAGACTCTGTGTGTACACAACACGTGTAAGGGATCATGTAGTACAGAAGGCAGTAAGACAAAGGTGTTCCCAAGGTCTCAGGAGCCCTGGGAATAGCTTGCTCCCTGGCTGGGAGATCCTGAATGCAATCCCTGCTTAAGCACTCCCTACACAGAGCTCTTCCCGTCCTGCTAAATAGCTGCAGGCTGTTAGAATAGGCTGTTATGAATGCATTTCCCCAAGCATCTATAATGCTGTCGTCTCATGCATGCATGCACAGATATCTGAAGAGGAGATCACCTTTTCTACTGTGCATTTTCATCATCCTCGCCTCCTTGCTGCACTCCAGCAAGGAGTGCCAGTGCTCAGCCTTCCAGGCAGGGCAGGCTGCTATACAAACCTGCATCCAACTTTCCCTTTCACCCATAAATTCCAAATATGTCAAACCACACGGTGACAAAATAAAAGCACTTTGCCATTCTTAGATCTTTACAAGGTCAGCTTTCGTTAAAGCCCAACAAGGCTTGGAGGCAGCACATGCTGGGGGAACATTGGAGCACCATGCTCATGTCACCTGTCTTCCCTGTCTCCAACTTGTGCAGCCTCCAAAGGGGCTTCACATGCTGTATGTTTGCCAGTTAAGCTCCTATAGATGACAGCCACCAGGTCACCAAAACCATGCCCCCAGGCAGGTACCCACTCAGGCAGGAGGAGGGCATCTCTGTGAACCTTTACTTCCAGAATCTCACCTCTAGCATAATTATTCCCTGTTATAGGCCATGTCCTGGCTTCGTTAGCTATAACCTCTTGATCTTCTGGAGGCGCTTGTTATAAAGGGAAAGGGCAGACACGTCTATGTCAAAACACTGGGACTGGAGAATTATAAGGAGGCACAACCCTGGGCAGACCACTTAACCTCCCAACACACGTCTCCATCCAAGAAGGCGTAAAGAAAAGCATTTCTTTAATCCTCAGGGACTCCTTTGAATGATGTGCTAGCGTAAATCAGAAATAGCTCCACATGCTCAAGAAAAAATATGATCTGTTTTGGTTTGTTTCTTTTTAAACAAGGTTCCCAATAAAACCAAAGCAATTCGGTGCTCTCAAAGCCTCTTGCATTATTCCACCCAGCTTAAGCAGAAGCTTAATAAATTCAATCCGCACCTCCTGATTTGATTTAGATTTTAGCAGGCTGCCACTGTGGATGCAGATTAAAACCAGCATTAAATTAGAAGAGGCAGGTTTTGTTTTGCTGTTTGAAAGCCCTCAGCGCCAGCCAAAGGCACTCCCAGCAAACTCCAGGCGATGTGCTTGGAGGATGCTCCATCACAGCAGGAAGGGATGCTGGTCTGCTCAGAAAGAGTTACACCTCTGTGTACTCTGTGTGGACAGATTGTCCATTAAATTGTCCATTAAATAAAGGGTATAACTATCCATTAAATTAAGAAAAAATTGCTTAAAAATGAGCTATTTCCGTCTAGTCTGGGGGTTTGGTGGTTGCAAGTATTTGTGGCAAGTTGGAAGTCAGCAAATCCATCTTTATTATTATTGGGTTTTAATCCCCAGAGTTATTTCAGGAATGGCAATGCTCACAGCTGACCCCAGGAAGTTTTCATTGCTCCTGAGTTAATGGCACATTTCCAGAGGCATCCTTCCAACAGAACTGCAACCAGAAGGAGGGCACAGCAGAAAACCCATAATGCTAGCAAAACAATAGCACTGACCACCAAGCAGTTATGATTTCAGTAACGAAGACGCAGACATGGTGTCTCACAACCAAGGTTCTTCCACACAGATTAAGAAAAGACTTACAAAAGGACTTTAGTAGAAAGCAGAGACAGTGATGTCCAGCTTAGAAAAACAAAGGTGAACACACAAATGTCAACTAAGAACAAGCAGACTGGGACAAAACACCTGCTATTTTTCCCCCTTTGCTGCAGGCTTATTGCAGCTTCATTCCAGACTGTACAAAGAAATAACATGGCTCAGTATTACTTGATACTCTTCAGGAGGACAAAAACACATATGAAAGAATAAATAGCAGTCCTTGCTTCCCCAAGAATGTTTATATTTATACATACTGCATGTGAATGCTTAAGCAGCTCACTTTGAAACAGACTGATAACTGCCCTTCAGCTCCCACAAGCCATCTATTACTACATTTAAAGTT